AACACAGAAGGTTTGAGATAACACTATAAAATAGCATATTTAATATTAACAATAATATTAAGAATAATTAGAATAATAAGAATAATTACTGACTTTTCATTTTCTAGATAAAGCTACTAAATATCGTATAACGTGTGACTGCAATATATTAGAAATATTTTTGCATGGAAAAATATTTGTAAGCCTTTCTGCATTCCATTTAAATATATTTTCTTCTATCGAAAAATACATATTGCGGCTAAAAAGCGCACATTTTTTACAGAAGACCCCAATGTTTTTCGATTGAACAGTACGAAGGAGCGGCGGGCGTGGAGAAGGGAAAAAGGGCGTAGTAAGTCATACGGAGAGGCTCGTACGTCATGCTTCATCCGGGCCAACGGAGCAACACATGGAAAGGGCTCTCTCCGTGTCCGAAAAACGTACTCACTCTGGTTGCCTCTTTAGGTCGCGATGCTATAGTGTGAGTGTGTATGCTACGTATGGCAGAGTCTCTCGTACACCTATGCACGGGGGAGACCCGAATCACTTGATCACCGGTGTGCAAGATGCACGCCTATACTCAACGCATATCCGTCACTTAATCCTTTAATAGAGTACGCAAAAATTGATTTTAAGATACGTGTTGATATGCAAATGCAAACTTTTACAACTGAATACTATTTTTTCATCTGATTTAATCTTTCCATCGCATTTAATTATTCTCAATCTTTTGTATTATTAAAATTGCATATCGGGATTTAATTAAAATATTTCAGCAATATTGAATTATAATATCTTCCCCATTCATTTATAAAAATAAAGTATATAGTAATTTGTCTATAAATACATTTATATCATAAATAATAATGATTTTAATGGATTGCAAAAGAGAAAGTCTAAATTTGTGTAAAACAAGTCTCTGGTATGTCTCTTCGCAAACAGGAAATTCTTACGATGCACGAAGATCGGAGCTGATCTCCGATACGGGGAGTAGAACGCTGTATTGCCAGCAAGCCTCGTAAACGGCCATAGCAGCAAGTGTGGGGGTTCGCGAGAAGGAGGGATAAACGAGCCGAGCCACGATTTCGTTGTCGTAAACGTCAAAGTTACGGTTACAGCGTTGTTCCTAGCTGCTTTATATTGAACGAGGTTGCTCCCCGAGGTACGTAACACCTACTCGCAATCGTCGTATTGTAGAAAGTAGCACTACACTCCTTTCCAACTCGCGAGCACGTGGCTTTTACGCGGGAATCCGGTAGAGGAGTTCAAGGTTCGTTGAGTATCCCTTTGCCCGTACAGCGCGCAACTGGATGAAACACTTAACTGATATCAATTTTCTTTTTTTAATTCACACACAATTACAAATCTATTACGTCTGCTAAAGAGATTAGTGCTCATTATTATTATCTTTCCTTTTTTTTTTAATAAAAATCTTATCTTTAAGAACTATTTTCTTTTTTAACATATCAAAAGCAGAAAGTTCAAGCGTTAAAAACAGAAGCTATAGAGTTATCATTAATGAAGCGCCCGTCCGACATATCTATCTTGATTAATACTCTCGTATCGGGTTATCGCGCGGTCGTTAATGTAGGTTTAAAAAGGACCATTTTTCTGATCTGCACCGTAAAAGAGGTCCGCTCTCAATGGGTTTGAATGAAGAGATGCCTAAATAGCACCCCAACTTCCATCGTCGCGCCCTCTAATTACCCTGTAGACGCAGTCAACCCCTCAATGAGAAGTGATAAATATTGTTCGCGTTTGGGTGTATCCCGAGAAAGTGATCCCGCTCTATAGAGAAAGATATATTTTTCGTTGCCACTAGAGAGTCTTGCAGACCATTTGATAGTAAGATATGTTACTTGGAATTTAATTGCCGTATAAATCTTTTACTTTGTGTATTGAATACAAACAAGCTTTCTCGTTATACAACGTGATATAAGATAATGCGATTCTTTTTCAAACAATTAGTAATAATTAAATATTTTATATTCATACATAAATTAATAACAATGTAAAAAATAAAATAATTATTTAGACTCAAATATTATGAAATTTCTTTCAATTCAGTCTCATTGATAAAAGCATACATAATAAAAAATTTGTGTATATATTATTGCTATAATAAAATATAAAAAAATTATATTCAGCATTAAAAAGTGAGGTTTTTTAATTATATGTATATCATATATCGCGCATAAAAGAAAGTTAATTCGTATGTCTCTAAAAAAGAAAATTATTTCTACTGCTAATTTTATAAGATAAAAATAAATAGAAGTATTATTTCAAGACATTTCAAATTTTGATTGTACTAAGAAACAATTTCTCAACAACTTGTATGTACATTTTACGCGTTATCTACTTATAAAAAAAAAATAAAAACAAGTTGTACGATTAGTTATCGGAAATTTTTTAATATTTTTTTTTAAACTTGTCGCAGAGCTGCAAAGCTCTTTAATAATAATAGTAAAATAAAGACACCGGGCGTCATGCTTTTATCGCCTTCACATTTATATAGATTGGATAGATAATCGTTCGCGCAATCGATTGTAACATACTTACGATACACATAGGTACAGTTAGAACTGCAATAAATTAAACGACAGATGCAGTATTTCACACTGGCATGCATTCTAGCTATATAATTACCGTTGCCGATAAGCATTTGAGGAACGAATAGAGACAATAGGCATAAATGCTTCTACATCAATTTTTAACATGTCGCAATGGCTGCAAGCCACTATAAACCTATTATTATTGTGTCATGTAGTAAAATTTATACCAATTTAATTCTAATACAGTTACATTCTGCATCATGTATTTAAAAGATTTGCGGAGCGTTAATTAGAAATTTAATACACCAAAGTACAACAAAGATGTGTTTGTAATTCAGCTTCTCTGTATTTATCTTCTAATTTAAATATGATTAATCGAAATGCGCAAAGTACGGAAGCTGCGGTATGCAAATTAATTTCTTGCAGTCAAACGCTGTAGAACAAAATCATTCATATAGCATTGTATGATAATAAATAATCGCCAATAGACAGTTCTATATTTAACTGCAAATCGTAATCTACGACGAAATAATCTATTTAATCGTATACCGATAAATTTTCCTGCACGCTCAATCGTACCAACAACATTGGAAAGCACTTGCTAGAGAGTGCGAAATGAGTCAACGGCTTTCAATCCGCGAGTGCATAGAACCTGTTATACGAGTATGCGGCCAATCAATTGCCTTTTTCCATTCCTGCGATTCCTCCTACGAATACTGCATTCCATTTATCATCAAGCCAATTTGCATCCTACAATCAATGATCCAAAACATCCACTAATTGGTTAAATTTGTGAACAAAAACATGGTAAGTCAAATAAAATAATTTTGTATGTATATTATCGTGACGCTCAAAAATTTCGCTCAGGAATTTTGCGAATTTTAAGGAAACAATAGCTTCCTAAACAATTCACATAATTCACACGATTTTAATTCATCAATTTCTAAAGAATAATAACAAGATATTTGGTTGACTATTAGAAATTAACTTTTTTAAAATAAAAAAAACAATTCCGTGCAAACAATATTGTGCGGAAATATACATTATAAAATTTATTCAATAGTTTGATGCTTTCTAACACAATTTCTTGCAGCCAAAGAAAGAAGAAAAAAATGGGTGACCCATACGCTGGACCGAGGAACACGGGAAGGAGATTCTCACTAAGAAAAATGAAGAAAGAACTAGTGGCGACCCAGAGCAAAGAAAAAGGACAGAGACAGCAAAAAAACTGTTAGCTGGGGGGATCTAGGATCTCAGCTGAGGGCTAGCAAAGGAAACATTCTGACCGAAAGTGTGATAGAGCCCATGAGGCGCGCTTTGATGATTATATATCTAACCAACAGCAAGGCAGAAGGTTATTCGGGAGTATCTCTCTCGCAATGGGAAGGACAAAGACATCGCTAGAAACAGCTGACTACCGGAATTCGGGGTTCCGGTGGGGTGAGTACAGCGGGGAAGGCACTTGAACCCCCAATTGGACGAGGACTTCCCCATTATATCCAGCATACCCAACGATTTTACACGCACTTGACTCCATTCTACCTATCTACCAGACATAATTTTGCGAAGGTACACAGCCGATTTTCCAGGACATAGCGCGCGCGCGTTAATATTGCACGCGCGGAAATAAAAAGCTCGTAGAACTTACATTTCGCGCGTAAAGAATAAAGCTAACAATTCAAAGCGATTATACGTATATATTCATTACTACTACATTAATTGCTCTCATCATATGATAATTTGAGCAATATATCAGCAATTAAAATTTTTTTAAATTGTTCGCAACTTTAAAAACGGAGCTAACAAATTATTGCGAACTATTTGTGAAAGACAAACTTTAGAACACGCAACGTTTACAATATATATATATATATAGTCAATTACGCTTTTAATAATAATAAAAGTAACACTTCGTGTGTTACTATTTTATGTCATTTTTTATTGCAAATGTTTTTGTCACCGTATCTATTTGACCAGAAAGCAATAAAATGTTTTTAGTTTTTCGACGATTATAAATCTGTTACCTCGGGACGGACATGTCGTATTTCAACACGACGTACAAATAGACCTGACGAAAAGTTTCACCGGTTATTCGACATGGTAGTATAAGCTACATTCAATAGAATGTATCCACATTTTCTCCTTTTTTTTATAAACAAAGAGACAATGAGATAGTTCAGCTCATTCACGCAACAGAAAATTTTTCATCCGTTCGAATTTATTAGCGATGCATGCGGAGTGTTCTGTTCTATAATCTCGTTCCGCGCAACTTCTAGGTAATTCGATCGCGTGGAAGCAATTTTAACAATTTAGTCTGGTATAACCAGACGGGCAAGCCTGATCCACCACGCCTTCCCGACCACGTGGTCTACGCTCCCCTCGTTTCCCCTATCCATAGCGGCTCCTATATTTCATCGCGGCTGTTATGATAATAGTCGCATGAGAGAGCATTTATGAATGCAAACTCACCTGCTATAGCCATCCAGGGGTAAAAGGTATGGTTGGCAGTAGGTTGCTGATGCAGTTGTGTGGCGACCGGTTGACTCGCGGACGAGTTTAAACTGCAGGTGTTCCAGGACGACGTGAGGGATCTTGACGAACTGTTGTTACCGGGACTCGATGCAGGATCGCCGCCTACGAGGCCACCGTAGCTACTGACCCTCGTACTCTCCGGAGTACACGCGGAAGGACGTACGACCGAATTACTCTGACTGTTCGCTCCCGAGGTCGCTGACTGCCACACGTCCTTGACCGCCGCCGCCGCCATCACCGCGGCATAGCCGTTTTGATGAGTCGACGTTTGATCTTGTTGCTTACAGTCTTTCGTCGCCGTTGTCGAGTATGAGGACGTTGTGTGACCGGTCGCTTCGGGTGTCGTCGAGTAAAGCTTGCAGGCCGCAACGCTCGCATCGTACGGCGAGTC